ATCATGTACTGACCCTTTTCTTTTCGCAGCCTTGCTATAAATTTTTTTGGAGCAATAGAACCTACTTTCTTTTTCTGTGTAGCAATACTGTAAAATAAGTCTGCCAAACATGTTAGAAGAGTTTCTTTATTTCTCTTATTTTTTGCTTTATATTCGAGAACTTTATCTCGAAAAGGTTTGCAAAAATATAAAGCCTGAAGTACAGAATTACTGTAACAGGTATTTCCAAACTAAAAAAAACAAACAATTAACCAAAAGATTAATAAAAAAATTAAATCAGTACATTTACTAATCCAAAGTAGTGTTCATTTGAAGGAAACTGTTCAGATCCAATATCTCTTTCTAGTTGAGAGATATTCGCACCCTGAAACAGATAAACAAGCTGTTCATAAATTACAATAATAAAATCTTAATCAGGATGTTTTACACCGGATATGATTTATTAATTAATAACTGAATTTACGTTCATAATGTCAATGTACCGAAAAGTATAATAATTATAGAGAATTTAATACCATATTTCAATTGCTAATCCATTACTTGTGAAGTTTTGAAAAATACACATGAAAATAAAAAATGTTACAAATCCACTCCATTACCGTATTTTGACAGCTGTAAAACCATAGATCAAAGATATATATAACGTATCGTTAGCATACACATATAATAATGGACGTGCCTTAGCCATATGTAGTAATAATTTCTTGGCTCGAAAAGAGTGAGGGAGATGGCGTATGGCTTCGCACTAGTGCTATCTCTTTCATTACACGCTTACGTACAATCGTGAGAAAAATAGATATTGTCCGAAACTTTGTTCCATCTCTTTCTTTTGTTGTACCACAATTCTGACCACTAAGGCATGTCCATTAGTATATGTCGATGATCCTAAGTATTATTATATATCTAATCTATGTGTAATACAATTTTGACCATAGATAATAGATCTACAAAGGGTAAATTTGATAAAAATTCAGCAACGTCAGTAATGAAAATCCCTATTCCCACATTTTTAATTTCAAAATTATTGAATAATTTTATGTTATATACAATTCGAAAACGTATTATTCAATTAATTAAAACAGATTAGTAAAATAATAAAATAATTATTATTTCTAAGTAGAAAAAAAAAGTTGTGTAATGTAGGTGGGCACGTGGTTTAAAACCACAACATGACAACTGATCTGAAAATACAGATAATTATCTATATCATCATATCATAGTTAGACATTTGCCTATTGAAAAAAAAAAGGTAAAAATCCACATGTACCTTATTACAATTTAATTGTAAGGCACCAACATACCAGTGACGCAACTGAAGAAGTATAACTCTAGGAGCAAATAGTGACATTTTCGCCACATTTTTATAATATAACCATATAACGTAACCTCAAAAACTAACTCGATATTTTTGTGTAAAGGTTTTGTTTTATGTCGGATAAATTACTTTGTGAATAATGACCGATTTTGGAAGCGATTCATTTGGTTCTAATTCAGACTCTTCTAAAACAGACAAAGAACTTCAACAATTTTTAATGGTTGAAAAACAGAAAGCCCAATTTAACGCACAGGTAAAAGGCCGATTTTTAAAATTTGTGAACACATATAATTGATTGCAGATTCACGAATTTAATGACTTCTGTTGGGATAAATGTGTTGATAAACCATCAAGTAAACTGGACAGTAAGACTGAAACTTGTTTAGTAAACTGTGTAGACCGTTTTATTGATGTATCCCTTTTGATTACAAATAGGTTTGCCCAATTATTACAGAAACATGGATAATTATACTGTCTACCTTGTAGGTTCTTAAAAGTTCATTTAGTTGTAATTATTTGTTTAACCTAATACACTTCACTAAAATTAAAGTTTTTGTATTTTACTATTAAAACAAAACTATTGTTTCAATCCTCAAGAAATTTAACCTTTTATTTTAATAATATGAATTAAACAATATCATAGTTGTTATTGGTTTCAAAACAATTAATCATATTACAATTGTCTTGCAATGCAGTTGCATCATTGCATTATCAAAAAGTATTTTCAAAACACATTTGCCATACACACATTTTTAATGCAATTATAAATCAATAACTATTGGTGTTTTACTTTTATCACTAATAATGTTTGATTAATAAAATGTAATAGGTACATGTGCTTAATTGTA